CTAGTTCGAGATGGCTACTACCTTCACTACAGCCACTCAACCACTTTCTACAGATGACTCGTGGGTGCAGTCATCCGCGGCCATCGTCATCTTGCGTTGGTGAAGACATTTCTCTAGCACTTGGAATGCCTTTTATTAGTAAGGACATTGGACTGATTAGTGGTAGAGTTCTCACGTGACTGCGTACATTACTAGAGGGAGGTGAACGTCTTTATGGCTGCCTATTTGAAAGAATGGTTCGTGAGCACCATCTTGATACATTAGACCGTTGGTAAATGCGATGTTCTATTCCGACGCGGCACTACGGCGGCCTCAATCGAGCCAAGGTCAAGCTAGGTGTAATCTCATGCTTGCCGAGTAGTAGTAAACTTCAAGATATTCATGTCACCAACTGTCATGCTCTTCACGTCGCACCATGTTAGACTACGAATACGTTCGTAATACAAAGTCGTGAACGTGAACGTGAACGGTGGACTTCTGCGCTTCTGCTAACCCCCGTTAAATAGACAACCGATGCCCTTTAAAATGCGGACGTCGAAGGAGAGGCCGAAGACGATGCCGGCGACTCTACGGCTCATGATTCTGCTGCTTAAGAGTGAATCCGTTATCGAGGAGCACCTCGCCGACAGGGTATGGGTTATATTGGCTTGTCGAAATGGAACGTTGATCAATGACCTTGGAATAATAAGGGGTGTCACTTGCTTCAGCTGCTGTTCGTCTTAGACACACCTTGCATGACTAAGGGCTGAGATCTTTAGCGACTCATGATATTTTATTAAAAGACAGCGTGAGAATCGTTTAACACTCTTTGGTGATTCTATTCATGCTCGTTTCAGGAAAGGGGTTCCAAACCTTCCTCACGGTCTTCGTGTCTAGTTGAAAAGCATCAGACCAGCTGAAAGATTTTCCTTGTTCTGGGACTTGGAATTGCCCTTTACCTTGATAAAGGGTCTATGTATCCCGTAGAGTGCGGAATGGCGTTAGTCTATTGGCCTTTGAGGTAGTAACGAATCACATATCACTCCACGATTATTCTTAACAATCCCGTAGTAAATCTAAATTCTGTACCTAATCAAAAATCTAAAAGGGATCTACGGTATCGAAAACGGAGACAGGTATACTACTCCATTCCGCACTAGATGCGATATGATACACTCGTTCAAAAGTAGGATTAAGCGTAGGCCGATAAACCTGCTGATTTGAAGGGTTGGGGGAGGCCATGGTCTCACAGACATATTCAAGGAAGTGCTGTGTATACCCGGCACAGTATTGCAGTGCTCAGCTCCGTTCCTAGACGCAGCGGTCGAGTTGTGGTTTGCGAGCCGGTTCGCCTCGCCCACCGCTTCAACTTCAAGGTAGCAAGCCTAGATCAATTTGGTTACTTGTCTGAAAGTCCTTTTTGAAGTGCGAGAGCGCGTCAGAAAGGAAAAGCCGAATATGGGCCCTAGTTGCCAACTAATGTCAACATGAGTCCAAACTGCATGCAGTCATACTTTATACTTTCTCAGTGATCCATATTACCAAGCTAGTGGTTCGCTTGTACACCTATCTCTACAACTTCAAATATGATTACCATTCCCTCAGTTGAGGAAACAATGCTAACTTGCGACAAAGTGCATATGGTGAGTCCGATGTCGTAGTTCCCGATCCCACCAGCCTCACGTCGCAGGTTTATCCGCGTTCTGTACAGCTAGCTGCCACTTGTTCCCACGACCTCAAAGCCTCCTTACTCAACGTGAGCTTCCATGTCGCTATCACGGTAAGAAATGGCGGGCCTTTCCGAACGTGGTATCTAAGGACGAATATCTCACGGGCGCCTGGGCCCCAAATCTCCATTTTCTTTAGTAAAGGCATGCGCAGAGCAGCCCTGCTTGGTTGAAGAAGCAGGCGATCCAGAGCTGACGGCCCGGATACCAGGTCTCCAATACATGTCGTGAGGGCTAGATATGTAAGGGCTGGCCAGGTCCGAAGACTATCTGATAGCTCAGAAGAATTCTCCGGTATATCCCTTGATGAATGTCGGGAAAAGTCTGTAGCATCAACAGCATGACACAGAGTGAGAAATCGGAGACGATAGCTTGCATTCACCGCTGAAGAGACGAGGTCGTTACTACAAATCCGGAGAAAACGCGGGTTTCCATTGAGCGGAGACTGCGCTTCCCAAACATGTACTGAACTTATCGTAGTAATTTTGGCTGCACGGTCGAGTAGCATGATCATTCCCTTGTCGCGGGGGGGACTGTTCGTTTTGAGTAATCGTGTGCCATGGCCCGTAGCTGACAGTCTTGAGACGGCAAAAACTACCGAGAACTTTCGCAAGCAACGCCTTCGACATACTTCTGTAGCAATGTCAGTTTACGAAAAGCTTTCTGACGATGGGAACCTGAGCAAGCTTGAGAGAGCTGGAGCTGACGTTCAATAAGTTGCCAAGGAGACGCCGTTTCGATTTTGAGGAGCATACACGTCTCCGATCGTGTTGAAGCCTCAGCGCGAAGCGTCCAAGGGTGGCCTAAACCACTCGGAGAGCTGGCGCTCAACCTTAAACTAACGCCACTTTTAAGCGTAGATCATGTTAAAGAGAGATGAAAAGCCTTTTTAGCGCTTGACTGAAGATCTTGTTGTTCGGTTTGATCGTGTTTCGGGTTTCCAGTTCGTCGAACTTGTCCACATTATCGTATTTATCAAGGCTGACGTGCAGTGATATCTCCTTGACGAGATCCGTTCGATATCCGTGAACAAAAGAGCTTAAATCATCAATGTCGGGACCAGGGTATCGAAGCTTCAGATGCTGGAAGATTCGTGGTGCGAAGAAGGCTTGCCATTCCCTTGTGACGCTTGCCCAGTCCGAGAAATCGTGTCTTTTATTTCCGATTTCAACTTGCTCCAGAATCGCTTGTCGAATCTCCACAGGCAAGGCTTTCCAGCGAGGAAGGTGATTGTTGACATTGTCGAGCGAGTACATGGTTCTCGAACGGAGCTTCATTTTTGAGCTGAATTGCTCAAAGTGAGTCTGGGTGGTTGTACATTGAGATGCTGAAATTGACAAGACGGAGCCGATAAACAGGTTTTGTTGCTGTCTAAGGCCCAGAAAAAGTTGTTCATGACATAGAACAGTACAAGCGGAATTTGCTCAGGTATCAGTAAATGATTACCCTCTTGCATTGAATGACAAATAAGGTTGCTTCTGGGACACTTGCTGATCGATTTGACCATCCAGGTCATGCTCCTTATCACAGTAGTCAGCCAAAGCACACATGGTTGTCTAACTCTTGCATACATCCGTGGCGCAAAAGCATAATATTGGGAACATGATGATTTACAAGGCCGAATCAACGGTACATGCGACAACAGGACCAACGAATGAGCACTACGCGTAGGAGCTTAAATTGCTGAACGGAATTCCGGTGGCGTTTCCCATGTATTCATATAATGGAAAGTGTGTAGAGTATCGATTCAAGACGATGCTGAGTAGTTTGCGGCTTTGCCCCTTTTGACTAGCAGAGGAACGTTGTTTTTCGAAGTGCTGTTGCTGCCGCAAGATGGCCCAAGACGAGAAGTTTGGTTGTTGTAAGTGGAGTGATGGTCCTGTTGGAATGGGCAGTACATGACAATGTTGTCGAAGCCAATTAGGTTTTCTATTCAGTTTTTTCACTTTTAATTATAACGAGAAGGAGCATGAATCAACAGATACTAGACGTGATGCGAACACAACACAGGGAAACCCAAGGTGCTTCTTGGGTTTATGCTACATTATTGAAAGAGTCGTTACATTTTCCTACGTTTGATTGTTCACGGAAACAAGGAGTTTCGTGTGGCGTTGAGATACTATTTTTGAACGTCACAAGGCGCCAAACCCTGCGGAAGGCTTCAGAGAATGGTGATGGCGACGCCGAACATTCTCATCTGTTGACGAATCATATGAGAATGTGTTTGAGATGTTGCACGAATATTGGCGTGTTACGCGAGCTTCTCGAGATGAAGCTTTGTTTGATCACTGGTTTATTTAGACGATAGTCTTTCCTCAGAAGTCTACTGGTTGGAATATATTCAGTCCGTTGTGTGTCTGCGGTTTATCGTGAATAAACAACGAAAGAGCCTCAATTGAAGCTATTCCACCAATCGAAGAAAATCCATGTTGGTCATAGACCCCTTTCACGTCCTAGATTTGCCGTCCAATTGGTGGAATAGCAATTTGGCCTGCTATGAGTTGTCTCGAATGTCAAAAGTCGTTTTAATGTACATTTTGTTTACGAACGGCGAAAAATGCGACTCTGCACCATGATGTAATTGCGACGAGTTTGCTTAAATCACAAGGAGGAATCTGTTCATTGAACAATATGCTGCTGCCGATGTACTGGTAGATAGACTAGTGGCACCTGTCTTTCTAGTTATTGGGTTTCGTTCAATCCAATGCATTAACGTCTAGTTATAATCAGGGGTGCCTTCTGGCAGGAAAGTGGGAAAAGAGTCGAGGAGCTAGCTGATGTCAGGATTTCTGTCACCTCAAAATGCGTGAGGGAGGAGGAGGAGGAACGGTACATATATTTCGCTCGAGGTTTAGCTGAATTTAGATGTACCTCCACTAAAGACTCCTGTTTCCCCCTCCTTCGGAGCCGCCGATAGGGAGCCCACGCACAGTGGCCTCAGCGGCTGCCCACCGCATTCAGCAGAGGCAGGCATTCCCGTGGTGGACGCAAACACTGGGCAGGCACTTGTCAGCGTGAGATGCGCCCAGTAAAAGACAGTGCAGAAGGGGGCGACCAGATAGCGGAAAGCACCTTTGGAGCAAACCACCCGTGCCACACCCCCCAAATCTGGGCCAGAAGACCACCCGCTGCCTGCCTGCCCTTCCCGCATCGCAATCGACGACGACGACACCCGACCGTGACTCTGCGACCGAGGGAGACCAAGCGGGAAAAAAAAATTCATCAATCGTCACCATCAATCGCTCTCGCGAAGAATCGACCAGAAAACGATGAATGGCTATTCAATCGTCGCCAATGGCCTCCGTTACGCGCTCCACCCGGAGGACCAACACTGAAGGCCTCGTCCAGCAGCAGCTTCACCCCCATCCCCTTCACCATCCTGTCCAGGCCTTCGCCGCCGCCAACACGAACACAGTGACGCGCGCCGCTGCCACCCCCCAAAACATCTCCAGCTACCAGCACACTCTGTCCGGCCGCACCAAGCGACAGCTCGACCAGACCGATCATATTGTCGATTTCGAACACCAGAAACCCAAGCGACCACGGACGAGCATCGAAATCCTCATTCGTCCTGCTTTGTTATCGAGCAAGCCTGCTGTCGCCAACGCGACACCCACGACAAACGTCACCCCGACTCCGCATCCGACCACGACCACGACCACGACGACGGCCACGAAGCCTCAGGCGGTCGCACCCCTAGCAAAACCCACGCCGAAACCCGCGCCGCAACACGTCGCGACGGTGCATCCTCCGAATCCAGCCGTTGCTGCTGCGAACAAAAATGCTGCCCAGTTGACCAAGCATCAGGAAAAGGTCATTAATGGGATTAAACACGAGTTGGATCGCCTACAGCCCCGCGAGGTCGATACCCACACAAAGGAGGGGGGCCGCAAACTGCGCTCTCAAGAGGCCACTCGCTTCAAGAGCGAGCTGTCTGCGTATTTCCCCGAGTATGACGAGGTCATCGGCAATGAACCTAAAGAACAGCGTACGCCCCCAGTTCCCTTGAAGTTGTCTTCTGCTCTCAAAGGTTGAGCAAACACATCCCTGTACACTTACTGACAACTACCCCTTCAGAGCTTTTCACCTTCGATACCCCGATAGTCATTTTTGACTCGAACCCCACACGCCACCATCTAGTCCCGTGGCACCGAAATCTAGGCGCGACGCCAGATCCCGGTGCAGGACTTGATGGCTCAGCAAACTCGACTGCTGGACACAATGTTCCTGTGCGCGGATACGGCGATGCTCTATTTGACGAGCTTGTCGATGCCCAGCGGATAGATTTTGATTTCTTGGGCATTTCGCACAAGCGAGAACCTGTAGAAGATCCTCTTCCCGATGCATCCTTTATATCGTCTCACAAAAGAGCGGAAAGGCTGGAAAAGTCCATTCGCAATACCGAGCGGGGACGGGCTCAGCATGAGAAAGACCAGATTGCACGCCTCCTGGACGGTCTCCAGGGTCACGATTGGCTGCGAGTCATGGGTGTTAGTGGTATAACAGAGACGCGAAAGAAGCAATTCGAGCCAGCACGGCAGCACTTTGTCAAGGGCTGCCAAGCCATCCTCGATAAGTTCCGTCAGTGGAGCTTAGAAGAGAAGCGCCGCAAGGCTGAGAAAGACCGCGCTCTTGCCGAGAAAGCAGAAGCAGAAGAGTCATCAAGCGAAGACGAGGACTCGTCTGCTGACGCTGAGAGTAGCGAGGACGATGTCGAAGGGGATGACGAGACTGGCGATATCAGCGACGGTGATCCCCCAGGATCTGACGACGATGATGATTCTGTGACCAAACAGCTTCGCGAAGAGGCCACAGAAAGGTCAAGAGGATCGAAGAACAGCAAGAAACGTCCACGTGCGACACCACAGCCACGGCCTCCTCCAAAGCCTGAACCACCAAGGGAATTCAAATCCTTCTTCAAGAAGAGATACGAGCGTGAGAGCGCTTTGCACCGGCACAGGCGTGCGGGCCGCAAGGTGGTGGCATGGGGACACCCGTTACCAGAGATACCCGAGATCGACTTCGATCTCCCTGAAGAGTTGCGTGATGAGGAGACACTGAGGGTACATGCGAGGAAAAGACGCCGGGATCGCCGTGGCCGAACCTGACGAGAGGTACTCGGCTGTAGGGCTGGGCTGTGTTTGTGCGATACCTGGTGTGCCGTTTCTGCTTCTTGTCTTGCATCGGGGTAGCGCGATGTCTAGTTGTAACATTATCATATGTAGACTGTTGGGTTAGCATGGCTCGAAAATAAGCGTTCGAATTGTCCCCTATTGTTGATGCTGGAAAAAACTGATGTCGCCTTCCCCTTGTGCCCTTGTGGTTGTGAAATGCCTTGGTAAGATGCCTGAGGTAGTAAACTTTATGAAGCAGGCGCTTATGAGTCGTGCAACAAATCGTGGTTTCCTTCTAGAAAGAGGGAAAAAGGAATGGCGATTATATTGCGGCTCTGTTTTGAAGGACCTGGTCGGATTCGGGATGGAGCTTGGTGGCTTAAGCAACAGGTGGACTGGCACCTTGGGCAGCTGGTCTGCTTACATAACCGAGGTCGACGTGAGTGGGAGTCGTGACCCGCCCAACGGGCAGGCAGGCGCAAGAGCCAAGGTGGCTCCGGCAGCTCCATCTCAGTCGCGGCGAACCGTGGGACGCGCTGACCTTGGAAGGCCTGAACTGCACCAGCTGCTGCCGACCTCAGATTTTGTGTTTGGTCGCAGCAGAACCTCTCTCAACCTCCTACTTCTCAGCTGGTCGTACCGCCGTACCGCTGGAGAACGGCATTATTAATATTCTCAGCTGCCGCCGGCCTTTTGCCTATTCCATTTAATTTTCTCTGGCGACCTCTCACAACCGATTTCCCAACTTCGCGACGCCGACCGCAGCGACAGGATGATCGTGGCCCTCGTTCAATCCTGCACCTGAGAATCTCGCGCCGGCGCACCTTCTTTGGATCGTATCCGCCGGGCCTCACATTCATCAAACAAACGACTGGCCGCTCGCCCGAGCGACTCGAGCTTTTTGCTTGATGCCAAACTGCGACGTCATCATACTCTCGAGCGCAAACTGAGCCCACCATGAGCGCCATCGAGGCCGCTGCGGCCGCCCCCGCCGTTGACGAGGTCATCGGCAGCGATTCCGAAGACGACCTCCCCCCTATGAGAGACGAGCCGCCCTATCCGTATTTCGTCCTAAAACAAGATGTCGAGCTCGAGATCAACTTTCGGGCGAAGCGAATCGAAGGAAAATCCCACATCACGTTTGGCATGGTTGGAAATGCCCAGCTTGACGAGTTCGCCATCGATGCGCGACAGTCCGAGATCGACGTTAAGAACATTACGGTCACCGCCCTCAAGGACCAGAACCCCCTGGGGCCACCGAAAAAGGTGTCAGCGACGTACACGGATCCGTATAAGTTACTGGACTATCCGAAATACTATGACTGGAACGCCTCGCATCACGACCTTAGGAAGATCCGGATGCGTCCCCTTATGCACACCCGAAAGAGCGACGTGCCTGCCGAGAATAGAGAGCTGGTAGGCTGTACGCCCGCTGATGGTGCCTTGCGAGTCAGTCTGAGGGACCTTAAGAAGACCAAGGGAGCTGTCAAGGAGGAACCGGTACCTGGAGCGGGAATTGCCAAACGGCCGACACTCAAGATTCGCGTTTCGAGCGTGACGCCGAATTCTGCGGAGCTCCCCGAGAGCGAACTGACGAGCTCAAGGGAGTACCGTGTCACGATACCTTTCAAGACCAAGCTCGTGCGGGATGGCGTTCAGTTTGTTGGCGTTGATGCCGGAGACCTTCGATATCCGCATGCCTATACTCGACATTCCATCGAGCCAGGCACTGCTTCCTGTATCTTCCCCTGCATCGACGACCCCGGCACGCTTCCGACGTGGACGATGGCCGTCAAGTGTCCGAGGACGCTGGGCGACGCACTTTGGCAACCGCTGGCTACCCAACACAGGAATGGCAATGCCAATGGCAACCGCGATCGCGGGGCAAACCAGTCCAAGGCTGACAGAGACTTCGCCCTTACCGAGGAAGACAAGCTCCTGGAGATGACAGTCGTGTGCTCTGGCATTTTGTCAGACGAGATCGTCGATCCTGAAGATGAGCAGAAGAAGATTATGACTTTCGAGATGGAGAAGCGGGTTGCTGTGCAGAAGATTGGTTTCGCAGTCGGTCCATTCGAGCACGTCGACTTGTTCTCAGATTTCCGCACAGAAGAGAACGACGAGAAACTCGGCGCAAGTGCGCTCAAGATCCACGGCTACTGCCTTCCGGGGAGAGCTGCTGAGGTCCAGAACACGTGTGCAGCGCTCGCCGCGGCTGCTGATTTCTTCACTCTCACATTTGCTCGATATCCATTTGACAACTACAAGATGTGCTTTCTCGATGACATGGTGGAGGATACGGTAGCCCTTCAGTCACTCTCCTTCGTTAGCACCCGCCTACTGTTCCCCGAGGACATCATCGACCTAGAGGTAGACGTCACAAGGCAATTGGTGTACAGCTTGGCCTCGCAGTGGAGCGGGATCAACCTTTTCCCCAATACACGCAGAGATCTTTGGGTCGTCATCGGCATCGCCTACTACATGACCGACCTTTTCCTGAAGAAACTATGCGGCAACAACGACTACAGATTCCGGATGAAGACAATGTCAGACAAGCTGGTGACCGTTGATATCAAGCGACCGTCACTGCACGAACTTGGCCATCTCCTGCACATTGGAGATTTCGAGATGGAGTTCATGGCACTCAAGGCGCCCTTGGTGCTCTTCATTCTCGACAAGCGGTTGATGAAAGCACCTGCCCAGACCAACCTCACGCGCATCATTTCCCGAATTCTTTACAAGGCCAACATTGGAGATAGACAGAGCGAATGGATTATCAACACGGAGTCGTTTCAGAGGGTTTGCGAAAAGAATGCCAGGAACAAACTGGAGGCGTTCTGGAACCAATGGGTTTATGGCTCGGGCTGCCCCAGGTTCGACGTTTTCCAACGTTTCAACAAAAAGCGACTCTGCGTCGAGATGACTATAAGACAAGTTCAGGATAAAGCCATGACTGAAGCTGAGCTCCTGAAGAAATCAGAGTTTCTTCGCGCAATCAAGGAAAAGGCGCACGGTGTCAAGACAGACGAAAAGGCCGGTCTTTTTACAGGCCCCATGACCATCAGAATTCACGAAGCTGATGGAACACCTTACGAGCACATAGTGGAGATTCGCGAGGATGCTGCTAAGGCCGCTAAGTTCGAGATTCCTTACAACACCAAGTACAAGCGATTGAAGAGAAAGAGGAGAGCAACGGAAAAGCTCAGCGCACAGTCTGCTGCCGACCCTGACAATAACGAAGACGCACTCTTATATTGTCTGGGTGACGTTCTGACCAACCCCGAAGATATGAGGAAGTGGGATTTTTCCGAATGGGAACCCGAGATCGAAAAGGCCATGGACCAAGAGTCGTACGAGTGGATTCGGATGGACGCTGACTTTGAATGGGCTTGCGAGATGAAGACAAATCTCCAGAGCTACATGTATGTGTCCCAGCTCCAGCAAGATAGGGATGTCGTGGCGCAGCAGGATTCGATGCTTTATCTCAAGAAGAGTCCGCCTCATCCACTGGTTTCGACGTTTCTTACTAGAACCCTTGTCGACCGGCGATACTTCCACGGCATCAGGACAATGGCTGCAGAGATGCTATATCACCACGCCGCGGATAAGGTCTCAATGGCTGGTATGACCCATCTGCTGAAAGCCTTCACCGAGATGTTTTGCTACGCCGATACCTCCATGCCTCGGCCAAACGACTTTTCCGACAAGAAGCAGTACACCGTGCAGAGCGCCTTACCTATGGCCATTGCAAAGATTCGCGATGCCAGCGGTAGGTGTCCCGAAGCCGCACGACGGTTCCTTCTGAATCAGGTTCAGTTCAACAACAATGCCAATAACCCGTACTCGGACCATTTCTACGTTGCCAAGCTTCTAGAGGCTCTCGCCCATAGCTTGATTCCAGAGAAGCGACGGGAGTCAGACGATGCCATGGATGTGGACATGTCAGCCGAAGAGAGAGGTTTCCTTAAGGAGGCTATCGTCGAGATTGATCGCTTCCGTAGGATGGACGAATGGGCCAACTCTTACCAGAACATCTGGACGACCACCGCGCTCGAATGCAGACGCAAACTTATGAAAGCCGGAGTGATTCCCAAAAGTGCTGTGGCCTTTGTCCAGTACTTGCAGGATGACACCTGCGACTTGGTTCGACTCAAGGCTTTCGAGGCTCTGGTGGATTTGGGTTATTTGATGGATCTGCCTGTCTTCCGCCTGATTCTTTCCGTCATGAGCACTGACCGATCTCCGTTCGTGCGGGATAAGCTTGTTAAGATCTTCTGTACAGGCCTGGCTAGCCTTGCCTTTGGGGAGCAGTCAAAGGCCAAGGCCGCGCCTGCTGTTCCTGATGGCGGGCTCATGATTGTGGACAATACTGAAGCAGAGACACAGAAGAGGCGAAAAGAATTTGCTCGAAAGCAAGATATCAACGTCGCACTCGAGGCTTTGAGGACAGAGATGGAAGAACAGTTTTCAGAGCAAGAAGCGGCACTGGAGCGAGCTTTCTGGAAGGCTATCAATTCTAATCTGATCGGGCGTTCCGAGAAGATCACGCTGCTGGAGCTTTGCGGCACCATAGTGGATGCTGCTGACCGATGGACGATTACTATGAAATATCCTAAACGATGGAGGGTTAATCGTCCTGTCCAGCGTCAACCTGGCAGAGTAAGCTCCTCACTCAAAGTGGCTATTTCGTCATTCATTTTGCTAACAAACGCGCAGAACATCATCAACTTCAAGGCGTTCTTCAAGACGGGCATACCGCAAAAGATCAAAGAGCCCGAACCACCGGCGCCACTACCAGCACCGGTACCCGCACCCGCGCCTGCTCCTGTAGTTGCACCATCTCGGCCGCCCGAACCCAAACGACTAATCGTCAATATGAAGAGTGGTGTTGCCAAACCCAGCAAGCCTACGGTTTCCCTTCCACGCCCCGCGTCCGCGGCTCCTCGCCCATCGCCGGTCTCTGCCGCGCAGTCTCCCGTCCCAAGCGCCGCACC